CATACATACATTATATATCAGGTAATGTATCAATAAACATGGTGGACTGTTTTATTTAATTCAAATATTGTTTGCAATTTACTATAGGCCTACTGCTGGGTTAAATTAACCCAAAATGGGTTTTAAAATTAAAATCACACACAATATGACAACAGTAACAACACAGGCAACAGATAGCCTAATAAAATATAAAAATTTATTACACCAGTTCAGAAAAAAAGCAAAGCAACTCCATACTTATACAGATTATACAGTTAAACCAAATTCTTTTGAAAAGCTTGTTTAAGGATAGATTTTGTTCAATTTGTTCATGTTTTTCACCCACTGACTTAATGACTAATTGATTAACTAGTAATGACTAAGTAAACTATTATGGCCAAACCATCACGCCAATAAACACAGTAATAAACACTGAAAGTCAAGTGTATTATGTGTATTATAGCGAACTGACAGGATTTTACTGTCTTTGATTTACCGTTTTGATCCACGTCCATTTTGACTACAGTTCCCGGTTTTACCTCTCATCAGTCGCTGCTCAATGTTGTGAGAACATACTCGGACAAAACCCTCCAGTTTTAAAAGAACACATTCCAGTCAGTTTCAAAAATCTCTCTCCTCTTCGTGTCGATTAGTTTTCTTGTATTTTCTACACATATTCCTGTCATGAGCGCTGCAATCACGGATAGACTCGTCTCATTCCAGATTCCAGCTGTTTCCAGTTCGCTCTCACCACATTCACTGCTGCAGTTTTAAAGGAACACACAGTTTCAAAGTTCAAAGTTGTCCCTCAGTCACGGATTTCGTCGCACACAGCGCCGTTCACGTTTGAACTCACGTGACTTGCTGCATGCTCTCATTCACGTCCTCCACATTCATAACCCAGCAACATCGGGTTATTACTGATATCAACCCAAATTGGGTCACATCAAGCCAGCTTCCTAACCCACAGTCTCAACCGAGCGTTTGGATTGAAACAATTACCAGCGTGTTTTATATGTGTAGGCTATAAAAAAGTACACAGTGTATGTTTTTGCTTAATCGCTTGCAAATATAAGAGGTCATACATACCCTGTAATATTAGAATTGGTACCCCTTAGTTTCAAAATACTTACAGAAGAAATCATTTGTAATTTTACAGATTATTACTCCTTTATTCTACTTACAGTAGAAATAATTTGTAATTTTACAGATTATTACGCCTTTATTCTCCAAACTTCGCATATTGTTACCTTATACCTACATGGAGGTACTGAATAGGTAGGTACACTGTAATTACAAAAAAGTTACACTGTAAATTCTGTTTACTTACGCAGTACATTGCGGGTTGTAATCTAAAGCGTTACCGAGATTTATTAGTAGAGACAAAGAGAGAGTAGTCAAAACCAGGCGATGGTCAAAAACAAGGCAACCAGGCAGAGAAGCAAACAGCATGCAGGAGTCAATTAAGATCAGAACCCAAAGATTACAAAATCCAGAGTCATAAAACCAAGAGTGTAGAGTGTGAAACAATCCCATTTACATTGTCAGGGTGGAGTGATTCTGATCCTCTCAGAATAGAGCAGCTCTGTCTCCAGAGACCATGTTCAAACCCCAAGAGCTTTATTTGACTAGATTTACTGCTACTGATCGAGCTTCTGAAAAGCACCTGAATAAACACTACATGCATCTTCATCTGTTAGTTGAATGATGTTGTCAGACACAAATGGAGTTTGTTGAGAAGCTTTATTGAATGTTGCAGCAAACACAGCAGATTGAAAGATCAGCCAGTGCTTTGACACTAGAGCTCTCTTTCAGTATTGAGTTGTAAATGACTACAGCTGCAGCACTAGACTCATGTGAATCCTGCCTGACACAGGACACTCAGATACGCTCATCTTCAGGAGAGAGCAGCGCTCACTGGAGAAACATCAGCACTGCGAGCGACTAACAGCGACTCTTGTGGAACGAGGCCTCATGAGGAGCTCCATCATGTGTTACTCTGCAGACGTACAGCTCTCCCTCTTCCCAGCGTGCTTTGCTGAGGGTCAGGACGCTACTGCGGCTGTAGCGGCCGTCCTGCTCGCTCTCTGCGCTGGTCACAACCCCCTCGGTGACCTCTGAGCCGTCCAGTGTCCAGCTCACCAGCGCCCCCTGTGGAGAGTAAGAGCTGAGCAGGCAGAGCAGTGCGGCTGAGTCTCCAGAGATCTGCAGAGAAGAGGGCGGCAGCAGAGACACTGAGGGCTTCACTGTGGGACCAGCTGCAGGAGACAAACACAACACATTCACAAACACAGAGAAAACACAAACACTACATACATTTCAATGAAATCTCACAAATGAAACAAAAACTTATTAAGATATTTACTGCTTTAATCCCAGTAGTTTCTATATCCCTACATACTGTCTTTGCATTTTAGTTAAGTGAGATGTTTAACTCAAAACTCAATTTCAAACAGAGATTGTTTGACTACAAATGATGTCACTGGAATTAGAAAGTAATCAACGGAGTTATATTTTTGTATAAACTGTGCTTGTATTAAAGTGCGCTGAATTATAAGCACAACATGAGCAAAAGAGATTCAAAATCATTGATTAATCTATAGAAATGAATAATAAGCACAACATGAGCAAAAAGATTCAAAATCATTGATTGATCTATAGAAAGTAGCTCCATTTACATTTTAAATTATATATTTTTCATTTAATCTCTTTTTTCTATGTATAATATACATGTGATAAACTAATAAAATCAAGAGTGAGCCACACAATTTTAGATTAAATATTTACTGTAAAACTATATTTATAAAATGTGCAACACTTTGCAATAAGGTTCATGAGTTAACGTTAATTAATGCGTTAATTAATATTAACTAACAATGAGCAAAACATTTGTTACAGTATTTATTCATCTTAGTTAACATTGATTAATAAAGGTACAACTGTTCATTGTTAATTCATGTCAACTCAGGTCCATTAATATTAGCAGATAAAACTTTGGGTTTTAATACTGTATTAGTAAATGTTGCAATCAAAATGAGATTGACTGAGATTAATAAATGCTTTACAATAATTTTTCATTGTTAGTTCATGTTAACTAATGTAGTTAACTAATATTAACAAATGAAACATTATTGTAAAGCGTTACCAAAATATTATTGCTAGATTTTTTTTCTGGTTCAATTAAAATACTACTACTAATAATAATTGTACACAATCTAAATTAAGACACAACAACAACAATGAACAACATCATCATCTTCATCTGGACCATTGCAGCTTTTATTCAAGGTGGAATATTAAGTTTTGATATGAATAATAAGCTATTGTTGTTTTTTTACCATTTTAATATACCAATATTCTGCTATAAAGGTGATTTACTGACAAACTGACTTTATTTTCTCTTCTTCAGAATCCAGAGGAGTCACTCTGACTCAACCTAAAGTTAAAACCGTGCAACAGGGTCAAACAGCTACAATAGAGTGTCATATAGATGTAGGAATACTTAGCAGCTACTTAGCCTGGTATCAGCAGAAACCTGGAGAAGCTCCTAAACTCCTCATTTATTACATAAACACCCTCCAGTCAGGAACTCCATCTAGATTCAGTGGCAGTGGATCTGGCAGTGATTTCACTCTGACCATCAGTGGAGTCCAGACTGAAGATACAGGAGATTATTACTGTCAGAGTGCACACTGTCCTAGTAGCTGTGTGTTCACACAGTGATAAAGAGTCGTACAAAAACCTCCGTCAGTCAGAGTCACAGTGACTGCACTGATACAGCTGAGAGACACTGCAGCTGCTGATGGAGGTTATTTCTTATAACAGTCTCATTTACTAAAAAATGTGAAAGTCTTGTACTGATTTATGAGTCTTTCTGGATCTTTAATGTGTTTTTCACTCATAACTTCACCATGGATGTATTTAATTCATCATTCAAAATGTTCCACCATTAATCAATCCAATGAAATCTGACGATACTTACAGTATGCAGGGAAACAGCAGCCAGAGTCCTCATGTCCTTTCAATCCAGAATTACACCAAATGATTTCTGCCTAACATCTCCTTTTGTGTGTCATAGAACATTAAACTTTATTTTTTTCTTCTTCTTCCACAGTGAAAATCTCAAATGATGTACTGTGTTAAGAATCATTCTGTGATTGAAATGTCAGTAGTGAAGATTATGTTTTTGGAGTTCACACAATCAAATTATATTTTCGCACTTTTTTCATAATTAAGTAAAATTATAGCTTGATTGAAAATGACTCAAAGATATTCTTCTGCTCACAAGTGATATTTACCTTTGTTTTTCAATTTGATAATTGTTTCACTGGGAATGGTGGAAATGACGACACAGTCATGCCGCAGTCAGAATAATAAATATTATAATGTATTGTAATAGTTATTATTTTAATGAATTTTATATTTTAACATTGAAAGTCTTCCCAAAGAAGCATTTGAAAAGCATGAACAAAATCATGAGGAAGTCAGTTTTAATATGATATTCAAATAAACAAATAAAAGACAGAAATAATTTGCTTTTAGTTTAAATTCATTCTTGGTTCATAAAAGTGTTCAAAAGACCCCTGTATGGCTGTATTATGAAGAAAGAGACAGGTTTGGTGTTGATGTTAACAGCGGGGCTTGTCTCCCTCTGCTGGTTCGGTGTTGATGTTTACAGCGGGGTTTGTCTCCCTCTGCTGGTTCGGTGTTGATGTTAACAGCGGGGTTTGTCTCCCTCTGCTGGTTCGGTGTTGATGTTAACAGCGGGGTTTGTCTCCCTCTGCTGGTTTGGTGTTGATGTTAACAGCGGGGCTTGTCTCCCTCTGCTGGTTCGGTGTTGAAGAGCCTCTTGAGGCAGTAGAGCTGCAGGTATCCAGTTGTGATGATGAGCAGACTCTGGACAGCAGACCAGCTGTTCACATAAGTGGAGTTGGACTGAAGCAGGTAGAAATCAGCACCGCGTCTCATTCGCTCGTAGTTATAATGACCCCACATGTGGAAGACAAACCTCTGCAACCTGCTGCTGCTTTCCTACACGAAGATTTGAGAAATGTGAATGAAATTTAAGGACTTGGTATGTCAAAATGAAATAAATTTCTCAAAATGTAATTTTATTCAAGTGTCTGTTTATATGGTCTGAATACTTTCCGTACCCACTGTATATATTTATTTATTTTTATTTTTTTCACCGAACAACTGATTTACGGCCGAGATGTATTTCCAAGAAAAAAACATCGTCTTATATTCGGGTCAATACGGTATATGTAATGCAAAAAAAAAGTGTTTTTAAGTGTTTTCTTTCAAAACATAACCAATTCTATAAAATGTTTAATAAAGAAATAAACGAATAACTATGTATAGCATATTATTAATTATGTTGCTCAAGATACATATTTTTAGTAAAGCTTTTAAATACTTATTATTGTCACGGTTGCACTACTGTGAGAAGCGAGGAACGAGGAGACGACGGATACTCACGAATAACAGTCTTTAATTATCACATTCAGGGGAACATAGAGCTGGCTGGAGACACACGTAGTACATGGAGACGTTCAAGACCCGACAAACACGGAACGCACAGACTGGGACTTAAATACATGGGATAACGAGCTAGACCTGACGAGACACACCTGGGAGCAATAAACAATTAGACATACAGGCAAACTAGGTCACGGAGCACATGGTGAGCAAAAACACAACACAGACAGTCCTTAATCCTGACATATCGCCCCCCTCCCGGAAGGCACGTCCTCGCGCCGT